CCTCTTTCCTTAGTGTTTTGTCCTTGATCTCCCTCGTGAAATTTTAGATGATATGCCTAACGCAATAGACATGCGTAGAAGGAGGGTCATGCCAACCGTTTGCAGGATTATTGTAGGCACTTTCAATGGAGGCATGTCTGTCCGAGATCAAATAGAGATCTGGTTGAGGAGCCACGTGTGTTCGCGGGTTTTTCATAAAAAATCTCTAAGCACCATCGGTCTCCCCCTCGACTAGGGCAAAGGCAATTGGGAAAATGTTGTTGTTGCCATCTTGTGCAACTGCCATCAGTAGCGTGCCTTTGTATTTCCCATACAACCAAGTCCCATCAATTTGTATAATTGGTTTGCATGATGCAAACCCTGTGATGCAAGGTTGAAATGCCCAAAACACTCGACTGAATATTCCTTTTCTGTTTAGTTGACTACCATCTTAGGCGTATGCTGGCACTGTTTCCAGAATGTAAACAGTACCCAGAGAATAAGTCTTGAGTACATTCAGGTAGCGAGGAAGTTCTTGATATGACTCCTCCCAGTTTCCGTACACCTTTTCAATCGTCTTGGTCTTTGCTAACCACGCCTTACGGTAAGACGGAGTATAGTTAAAAACCGTGGTGATGTGGGAGATGATGGTTTTCACCTTCAAAAATGGGTCGTTGCTGACGAGTGGTAGGATTTCTTGACAAATGAGATCGTAATTAAGTTTTCGATGGTCCTGTGATTGGGTAGAACTGACACAAGTGTGGGTAGACATGGAACCTATGACCCAACAATCACCTCTTAATATGTATGATGCAGTGAGCTTGAACATACAATCAGGATGGACACACTTGATCTTGTACCTTTCTAGGTTGACACGGTCCACCTTAAAATCGACCGAGTTGAGCATGTCGAATTTTTTTATGGCTCTGATGCATTCATCTCTGTTACGAAACTTGTCCTTCTCTTTTAAGTTTTCATCTGACTGCATATACAGATTGAAAAATAAATCAGAAGACGGCTCATCTCCGCCCATGTTGAAGTTTGTCACGTGCGGAGGTGGTGTGTAGATCTCATTTGCAGGAATACCAGGTATCCCATCGTCTTCGGAATCATCATTCACCATTTCATCAAACTCTAACTCGTCATCTTCTTCTTCTTCATCAACTGCATCTACCCCTGCTTATTCGGTCTCCAAAGGATCAACCACTTGTGTCACCTGAGGCTCTCGCAGCATAATGTACAACTCAATAGAGTCGTATCCAGAATACACATGACTAGAAAACATATTCCGAAGATCCTCGTCATCTTGAACCTCAACCTTATAAAACATTATTTGGTTGTTACCAAAAAAACTGGATTCTGATAAAATATTTGTGTCACCGGGCCTCGTCCAAGTTTGGCCTCCAATCGTTTTTTGAAGTACGAGAAATTGACTTTCTCGTTTAAAAGAAATCGGATGTTGTCTGTGTCTCTAAACAAAAACCCAGAGGTGGGACAAATTTATGTCTCACCGTTGAAATATGCATTGATGACATATTGGGGTGCATAGGCCATTGCGTATGGTTGTTTGAAGGTTTGAAGGTTGGAATGTTTGAAGTTTATGAGTTATTCGAAGGTTTGTATGTTTGATTGTTTGAAGTTTTGAAGGTTTGATTGTATGAAGGTTTGAAGGTTGGAAGGTTTGACAGATTAAGTGAATCGATGTTTTGATAAATGTAAGACTAAATAGGTCATACTGAATTTGAATTAAGTAAGGATGTAACCTCCAAGGCTGCCACCTAGCCTGCGCCTACTCTGCACCTACACTGTAACATGTAAGTCTCCTCCCATCATCTCCAATAGTGTTACATGCATTCAGGCATGGTTTCTACAAGGTTGTCACCTAGCCTACGCCTATTATGCAACCCGTGCCACCTCTTATTCGCCAATGGGGATGGCGACACCTTTCATTTTTGTACTCTTTCGCCAAGTTCAATGGCGTCTCCCTTAATGTCCAATCGTGTTACATGCATGCAGAGATGCCACCTCCAAGGTTGCCACCTAGCTTGCGCCTACTCTGCACCTACACTGTAACATGTAAGTCTCCTCCCATCACCTCCAATAGTGTTACATGCATTCAGGCATGACTTCTACAAGGCTGTCACCTAGCCTGCACCTACTCTGCAACCCGTGCCACCTCTTATTCGCCAATGGGGATGGCGACACCTTTAATTTTTGTACTCTTTTGCCAAGTCCAATGGCGCCTCCCTTAATGTCCAATCGTGTTACATGCATGCAGAGATGCCACCTCCAAGGCTGCCACCTAGCCTGCGCCTACTCTGCACCTACACTGTAACATGTATTTCTCCTCCTATCACCTCCAATAGTGTTACATGCATTCAGGCATGGCTTCTCCAAGGCTGTCACCTAGCATGCGCCTACTCTGCAACCCGTGCCACCTATTATTCGCCAATGGGGATGGCGACACCTTTCATTTTTGTACTCTTTCGCCAAGTCCAATGGCGCCTCCCTTAATGTCCAATCATGTTACATGCATGTAGAGATGCCTTCTCCAAGGCTGCCACCTAGCCTGCGTCTTCACTGCAAGATTGACACTTATCATGCATGCATGCACCAGCTACCACCTAACTTACTCTATGAAATTTTTTTGCCTATAAATACAGAGCATAACATACTTCTCTCGCACCCACAATCGTCTCACTCTCTGCTACAAAGTCTTTCATAATCTCTTACAATTTCTAAGTCTTTCATAATCTCAGGCATTTTCAACAATGACTCTTCTCACAATGGGGGATTCTCACAGAGGCACAAGGGACAACATTGCAGCATTTGTAAGTTTCTTTTATAGTTATACATTTGTTATACTTCTAGTAATGCTTTGTTCATCTTACTTAATCTTACACCTTTACATTATTAACTCAGGATACCAAGAGATATCGACTTGTTTGTCCCCGTGGCATCTCAAAAGGGTCGACGCCCAGTGGGATCTTACCAACTGGAAAGACTTTGCTCTAGAATGGTGTAAGATGTGGCAGAGGCTTATCGACATGGCTTGCAATTCCCGGGTTTCCTCAATCATGGTAATATGCGACACACAGATCAATATTAATCTTGGTACAGGTCGGTTAGTAACCCTGAAATGCATGTGTCTCATCCAAGGTATTTGGTTGATCCACAAACACAATGGGCACAACCCTTGTTTCCCCAACAACAAACCCAACACACATCAACCTCCCACCAACCCCCCAGACGAAACCGAACCACAAACACCCAACCACAGTCCCCACCACAACACAATTACACCCAAATGCCCCACAACCAACCACAATCACCACCTCAGTACCAATACCCCCATATGCCTCACACCCAACTGCAATTCCAATCACAATACCAACACACCAGCATACCCCACACACAATTTAAGTCTTCTGTATATCCCAATATGGCCCCGTCAACATCCAGCCTTAGCCCTGATCTAGGAATGTCGGAAGATTATGAACCAACCGACCCAACTTACCATCAACCACAGTATCACCAAACCACCCAACATCCTCAATACCAAACACCCCAGGATCCATTTCCCTTCTACCCCCAGTACTCAGACGATCAATGCTACAGACCCACCATGGAACCCCGCTGTCATACCCAAATTTTTGACCTAAGAAACCACCTCCCATCTACATCATTACATAGTAAGTGTTCACAGGCGATTCGACCTATTTTTGTCAGTTCTCGAATTAGATTTTTAAAAATTTCATAACTTCTTCAAATTTTGATATTTTTGAGCGGTTGTTTTTGCACATGATTTTCCTTGACATCATCTACAACTTTTCTTTACAAGTCAAGGGCAAATTATGCATTGAGAAGCCACGAAAAATTGTTAACGTTAGAAGTCGTTTCAGGAATTTGATTCTTAATTTTGGACTATGTTTTGTCCGACCATACATTTTACACTTTCTCTTCTTTTATTCTTATTTCCTGGAAAAAAAATCCTTTAAAAAAATATATTTAGTTCATGTCATCTTCATTTTATTTACATTTTTATTCACAAAAAATAGTCTCTTTAGATTTCATTTAGATTTTTGTTCTTGTATCATTTAAGCCAAAATTATAATCTTTTAGATTTAATTTAGTAAAAAAATCTCAAAAAATATGTGTTATCATTATTTTATTTTAGCATTTCACTTTAATTCAAAAATCATAAAATATATAGTTAATATCTTTTCCTTTTTATTCTTTTAGTTATTATAATTTTTGCTTCTTTCTTTCAATATTAGTCTTGATTTGATTCTAATTTTAATTCAATTTTTAAGTTGGGTTATTGTTAAAATTAAAATTAATTATAATTTCTCTTTTTTTATTATTGTTCTTTGCAAATTTTAGTTTAATCCTTTTCCTTTTATTATTACTAACTATTATTATTATTATTATTATTATTATTATTATTATTATTATTATTATTATTATTATTATTATTATTATTATTATTATTATTATTATTATTATTATTATTATTATTATTATTATTATTATTATTATTGTGTTTCAATAGTTTTTGTCATAATAAGAAATCAAGTTTGGGACCATTCTCTTCATGCTACAATATATCCACAAGATTATTGTCATGTTGCTGTCAAACTAGTTATGCTGCTGTCAAACTAGTTATGCTGCTGCCCTGTACTAAGACCTTGCCATCTAGCCTGTTACATGAGTCCAAAAAATGCAGCCAATACACTAAACAAGCAAAACTCAAAACTAAAGAAAAAAGCTATGAAGACAGTTTAACAATTTGGTCCAAATGAACCAACTTTTCCCCCCAAATTTTATCATTTTTTCCTATAAAACTAAGATATCATTCAACAGAAAGGGAGACAAAAAAAGAAAACCAATAGGGAGAGAGTTACAGATTAGGGGATCTTTTTTCATATAGAAAACTAAAAATCATCTAATGTACAGCCTTATATACACCATGTAACTATACCACATAACACAAAAAATACCTTCAACAATAGCAGTAGTTACTACAAAATTTTTGCACAAACATCATAAAATCTTCCGCCAACTTCAAACCAATCTGCAGCAATATTCTGCAGAAAATTATCATAAACCTTTTTCCTCTACTACATGCTTTCAACCTCTCTCTGCATAAAATCATCATAAATTCCTCAACAACCACCATTAATACCTCAACCATGATTCCAGGTTCGACCTCTACCAAACTATTCGCGACAAACACAACATCAACACCGACGCCGCAACCTGCATAATAGACAGAACAACACATACAACTTCAACCCAATAAATCTTAACCCGGAAATATACAATGATATAGTAGGAAAACCCTCTTGGAATTTCTGATACATACATAAGTTGCAATTTGTTTCTTCTCTTGGCTTTTGAGTCAAACATCTCTTAGCCTTTGAGTGTCTCAATTCATCACCAACACAGCTTACGATAACAACTCAAGAAACCAGTAAAAGAAAAGTAAAAAAAACCGGTGGAAAAACAGTATAAAAAATACATCATTATGTATCACTTCCAAAAAAAACTCTCCTACTAACTTTCATACACTTTAATTCATTCAACCTGCAATTTCCAGAAGAGCAATAATTTCAACAACATTATTCCAACAAAATTTCAGAACAAGGAAGCATTATTACTACCTCTGGTCTTTTGTGTTACCTTCATCAAAACCGAAACCCTCGGACTAGCTCTGAGCTTTTAAGTCTCCCTCCTTCTCACCAAATTTGTTGCTATAATTGTTATTGTTGCTTGTCGTTGATGCGATGTACTATGAATCTATTCAATTTGTTGCTTTTGTTTGATAAACCGTTAGAAAAGAAATTCCGAAAAAAGTTTTGAGAGAGATTTCTGAAAGCCGCGAGGTATTTTATTGTTGTTGCATCAATTTGGATTTCAAGAGCAAAGCTGTCGGTTTGGTTTACAGAAAGATGCGGATTGATAGAGATATCTCAGGGTTTAGAATTTCACAAAGTGAATTGCTTTCAGGAAATAAGAAGGTGTTTACAGTTTGCAGAGAAGAGAATCGTGGAATGTTAAGAAAGAGAGAGAGGATTTGGAATAATCTTTTTTTTTATTTAATTAGCTAACTGGATTTGATTTGGTTTAAATGCTAATTATTTAGAATTGGTGAGAGAAACAAGTGTGGAACGGCTGCATTGTTCTTTAGAACTTCTAGGGTTTTTTTCTTCACATTAGAATTTTATTTGGGGCCTTGACCCACTAAACTAGGCCCAATCCGCTAGTTAACTATTTTTATCCTATGTTTCTGTTTCACACCCTTTTTTATAATTAACTAGCCTAGATTTAAATTAGTAATATTAGAATTTTATTTTAGTAACTTTAAGATTTTATTTTATTTAGATTTGACTTAGTAAACTTTAGAATTTTATTTTAGTTTTATTTTAGTAACTTTAGGATCTTATTTTATTTAGATTTGACTTAGTAAACTTTAGAATTTTATTTTAGTTTTATTTTAGTAACTTTAGGATTTTATTTTATTTAGATTTGACTTAGTAAACTTTAGAATTTTAATTTGTTTTAGTTTTATTTTAGTAACTTTAGGATTTTATTTTATTTAGATTTGACTTAGTAAACTTTAGAATTTTATTTTGTTTTAGTTTTATTTTAGTAACTTTAGGATTTTATTTCGTTTAGATTTGACTTAGTAAACTTTAGAATTTTATTTGGTTTTAGTTTTATTTTAGTAACTTAAGGATTTTATTTCATTTAGATTTGACTTAGTAAATTTTAGAATTTTATTTGTTTTAGTTTTAATTTAGTAAACTCTAGAATTTTATTTGATTTTATTTAAGTTAACTTTAGAATTTTAGTTGTTAGTTTTAGTTTAGGGACTTTAGAACTTTATTTGATTTAGAATTAGTTTAATGAGTTTATAATTTTTATTTGATTTAGAATTAGTTTAATAAGTTTAGAATTTTAGTTGTTTAGAATTAGTTTAATATTCTGTTAGAATTTTATTTGATTTAGATTTAGTTTAGTAACTTTGGAATTTTTTTTGTTTTAGATTAGCAACCTTGAAATTTTTATTTAGTTTAGATTTAATTTACTAATTTTAAAATTTTTAATTTAGCTTAGATCTAATTTAGTAATTTTAGAACTATTTTTGCAACCTTAGAATTTGTAGTTAGTTTAGAATTTTTTAGTAACTAATCTTAAATTTTTAATTTAGTTTAAATAACTTCTTTAGATAATTAGTTACATTCTCTTTTATTTTATATAAATATCTTTGTCATTTTAATTTCTCGATGCCTTTAGGTCATTAATCTGTTTCGTTATATTTATTTTCTTGTGAATTTTGATTGCTTATATTTTGATGTCTATTTCATTTTGCTCGCTCGATTTAATCCAAGGGAAATGTTTTAACTTTGTTGACTTCATGTTATCAAACACATCTCATCCAATCGTGCGAATACCCTCATTCATCTTTTGTTTGTTTACTATTTTGTTAAACCTAAGATAATTTTCCCAAAAGATTCAATTTTTAAACTCACACCTTTTAAGTCAAAACTTCGACACTAGGTCGTCGCATCTTCAAAATCTCGTCCATACCCATTTTTTAGCCAAACAAACCATTTTTATCAAACAAACAATTTTAACCAAAAAACGGATATTTCAAAAGGTTCCTGCGGAGTACCGTAGATGCATTGGGTGCTAATACCTTTCCATTGTATAACCAACCCCCGAACTCTCGATCTCTTTTAAAAACGCATTGTATTTTCATTACTTTTAAATATTACTTTACATTGCATATTTTAGGGTTTTATTTCGCTCTTTTCCCTTTTCCCTTGGAAATAATAAAGCGCGGTGGCGACTCTTGCTTTTTGTGAGTCAAGTTAATTAATAGCTTGATCTCCGATTTTCACCGCTACAGAAATGTCGACTCTGCTGGGGAAAGATTGACCTCTTGCTGGTCCATCCCTAAGTGGGTTAAGCCTAATTTGTTTTATCTGTTTTATCATTATTTGATTGTTTGATTATATGTATATATTATGATTATTTGGGTGTTGATAATATTTACAAAGGACAAGTCCTATACCCAGACTAAGTTACACTTAGGAATAGGACGTGCGGTATAGTCATGTTAACTTTGAGGGAGTAATCCCGAAGAAGGAGGCATGAGATCCCCCACTCAGTGGAAGGCCCTTTTGAACGTAATATTTGTTTACCGAGTAATCGGGAAGACATTATTATTTTCGACCTGGGAGCCAGAGAAGCTGGGAACCGTAGAACCATAACCCATCTTGGCCTTTTAGGTGTAGCGCGGAGATTATAACGGAGTAATCCGGAAGTAATTGTTACGCGATGCTACGCTCGAATGAGTTTCTCTTTAGAATATTGCTGATTATTGAGTAATCAAGACGTTGGTAATATCCGAAGGAGGAATGTAGACTCCGGGAACTCTTAGAACCTTGTTCTACAGGTGTGATTAAACCGTTAGTACATACCTTGGGGGTGTTCCTTAGCTTGACTCCACGCTCGTGACGTTGAACCTTTCGACTTTATTTGTGACCTTGCTTGTGGTTGTTGCATAGCCATGCATTCATGCATCCATAAAACCCTTTTCACTCGATTTTCAAGGAATTTAGAAGTCTTTCTTTGTAAACATCACAAGTTTCGTCAAGCTCAATGGATCTTGGGTGTTGATGGGGTGAAAACCCTAATCCACCAAAATGGATGATTGATCTTGATGATAACTTGATCAACGCTTTGGTCCAATTTAAAATTCATCTTCTATCTTCATACCTTGATGTTTACAACTTAATACCTTGAAGATCAAATAAAACTCTCTTTTACATTCACATATCATGCATCACTCTATATTTTTTGTTTCACTTTTAAAAGTCATTTCCAAGTCTTAATTTTTCCTTTGGTCTCACCAATACAACACTCTTGCTAAGAGAACAATGGAGAATATCAAGCAAGAGGTTTCTGAACTCCGTAGAGAGATGACTAATTTGAAAGCTAGTGTGGAGCGCTTAACTGGTTTGGTTGAAATTCTGGTTGCCGCCCAAGTCAATCCTTCTAGGAGGGACGAAGCGATGATAAAAGTGTTCACTGAAACTCTAAAATCATTCTCTCATGAGAAGGTGATGGTTAATGCACCTAATGACTTTCCTGACAAGGTGAATGTGGGAGTGCGTCTAGAAGAAGATGTTGGGAAGGGATGTTCATATGAAGATGGTAGCTCAACTAATGGTGTGAAGAAGTTTGATAATAACTTTTCCAAGAAGAGAACCAGAGGAAGAAATAATCATTTTCAGAATCATCATGTTTCTCCTATTCATCAACAGAATCAGCAAGTTCCTAATCAGAGGAAAACCCAGTTTGATCCAATTCCAATTACCTATACAGAGTTGTTCCCTATCCTAATGCAGAGGAATTTGGTTCAGACCCGACCTCCACCGAAGGTTCCTGAGAAGATACATTGGTACTACAAAGCTGATTTGGCTTGTACCTTTCATCAAGGTGCTCCTGGGCATGACTTGGAGGGTTGCTTTGCTTTGAAGATTGAGGTTCAGAAGTTGGTCAGAAGTGGTATCTTGTCATTCAAGGACGTTGGTTTTGAAGTTCAAATCAAGCATGCGCCGAAGAGTAAACACGATTGATAATGACTTTGATTTTTGAAGGATGTTTTTGGTAATTCAAGTCCAGATGGAAAGCCTTCCCAGATTATTAACTTATTTATGCTTTTTGTAATTTTTCTTGTTTATCAAAACATTGTTTGCATGTAAGAACTTGTTTGCATCTGAATGATTATCTTAATACAATGAGTATGTTTGTCTTGAAGAAATTCATTCGTTTCACTCATATTTGTTTTCAAATTTTAAATTGCTTTTGCACTATGATACCAAATTGTTGCTCATTCTCTTGCCTAGGCAGAGATTGAGGGGAGGATGATGATCTAAAAACACAAAATCTCTGGTTGTATGCTTTTTGAATAAAATCTTGCTGACGATGTACAGGCATTGTTTCAAATCCCTAAACACTGGAGATATAAGGAAGATAATCCCTTGATAACCCCTTTTGAGCCTTGAAGTAGGAGTTTCTTTTCTATACGAAAAAACCCTCAAATTTTAACCTGGGGTAGGGTAGTTTTCAGTTAATCTGATTGAGTGTTCAAAATTTAAAAGGAAGATATTTCCGAAGAGAAACTGCGAGGGCTATCCTTCATGTATAATGAAGCCAGAAGATGTGGAACTACAATGTTATCCCTCATTCATCAAGAAACGAGGCAGTCACAATCCTCTCAACAAGTAAATCTAATATCACACATTTTGTTCAAAAATCAAAAATCAAGAAAAAAAAAAGGAAAAAGCCTGCTAAGTCGAAAACTTGAAAATGTGCGGCTTAAGCAAAAATTAGGCAATCCCGCTGGACTATCAATTCAAAAGAATTAGTTCAGGCAAAAGTTAGGGAAAATAAAAATTACAAGGAAAGGAATACAAAGAAAATTCCTCAGCAAAGAACAAATTGGTGACTAC